TCTTAAATTTCTCAACATTGACAAAACATTTCCTTGATTTCAACATACTTCAAGTTGTATTCTACGTGACCTGACTTTGATGGTGCCACTGAATTCGAAAATGTTCAATGAGAGAACAGTCAGGCAAATATATCAAATCACATGCTAAAGACAAAATCTGGTCTCAGTTGGCCTCCAGGTGCTGAGGTACTGAGAGTGCCTGTGTCATGCCTTGCCCTCAGGTCCACCTTACTGAGAGTGCCTGTGTCATACCGTGCCCTCAGGTCTACCTTACTGAGAGTGCCTGTGTCATGCCCTGCCCTCAGGTCCACCTTACTGAGAGTGCCTGTGTCATGCCCTGCCCTCAGGTCCTCCTTACTGAGATGCCTTTGTCATGCCCTGCCCTCAGGTCCTCCTTACTGAGAGCACCTGTATCATGCCCTGCTCTCAGGTCCTCCATACAGAGAGTGCCTGTGTCATGCCTTGCCCTCAGGTCCACCTTACTGAGAGTGCCTGTGTCATGCCCTGCCCTCAGGTCCACCTTACTGAGAGTGCCTGTGTCATGCCGTGCCCTCAGGTCCACCTTACTGAGATGCCTGTGTCATGCCGTGCCCTCAGGTCCACCTTACTGAGAGTGTCTGTGTCATGCCCTGCCCTCAGGTCCTCCTTACTGAGATGCCTGTCTCATGCCCTGCCCTCAGGTCCACCTTACTGAGAGTGCCTGTGTCATGCCTTGCCCTCAGGTCCACCTTACTGAGAGTGCCTGTGTCATGCCGCGCCCTCAGGCCACCTTACTGAGATGCCTGTGTCATGCCGAGCCCTCAGGTCCACCTTACTGAGAGTGCCTGTGTCATGCCCTGCCCTCAGGTCCACCTTACTGAGAGTGCCTGTGTCATGCCGTGCCCTCAGGTCCACCTTACAGAGATGCCTGTGTCATGCCGAGCCCTCAGGTCCACCTTACTCAGAGTGCCTGTGTCATGCCTTGCCCTCAGGTCCACCTTACTGAGAGTGCCTGTGTCATGCCGTGCCCTCAGGTCCACCTTACTGAGAGTGCCTGTGTCATGCCTTGCCCTCAGGTCCACCTTACTGAGAGTGCCTGTGTCATGCCGTGCCCTCAGGTCCACCTTACTGAGAGTGCCTGAGTCATGCCGAGCCCTTAGGTCCACCTTACTGAGATGCCTGTGTCATGCCGAGGCCTCAGGTCCACCTTACTGAGAGTGCCTGTGTCATGCCGAGCCCTCAGGTCCACCTTACTGAGATGCCTGTGTCATGCCGCTCCCTCAGGTCCACCTTACTGAGAGTGCCTGTGTCATGCCGAGCCCTCAGGTCCACCTTACTGAGAGTGCCTGTGTCATGCCCTGCCCTCAGGTCCACCTTACTGAGAGTGCCTGTGTCATGCCGTGCCCTCAGGTCCACCTTACTGAGATGCCTGTGTCATGCCGAGACCTCAGGTCCACCTTACTGAGAGTGCCTGTGTCATGCCCTGCCCTCAGGTCCACCTTACTGAGAGTGCCTGTGTCATGCCGTGCCCTCAGGTCCACCTTACTGAGAGTGCCTGTGTCATGCCCTGCCCTCAGGTCCACCTTACTGAGATGCCTGTGTCATGCCCTGCCCTCAGGTCCTCCTTACTGAGAGTGCCTGTCATGCCCTGCCCTCAGGTCCTCCTTACTGAGAGTGCCTGTGTCATGCCCTGCCCTCAGGTCCTCCTTACTGAGAGTGCCTGTGTCATGCCGTGCCCTCAGGTCCACCTTACTGAGAGTGCCTGTGTCATGCCGAGCCCTCAGGTCCACCTTACTGAGAGTGCCTGTGTCATGCCCTGCCCTCAGGTCCACCTTACTGAGAGTGCCTGTGTCATGCCCTGCCCTCAGGTCCTCCATACAGAGAGTGCCTGTGTCATGCCCTGCCCTCAGGTCCTCCTTACAGAGAGTGCCTGTGTCATGCCCTGCCCTCAGGTCCACCTTACTGAGAGTGCCTGTGTCATGCCGTGCCCTCAGGTCCTCCTTACTGAGATGCCTGTGTCATGCCGTGCCCTCAGGTCCACCTTACTGAGAGTGCCTGTGTCATGCCCTGCCCTCAGGTCCTCCTTACTGAGATGCCTGTCTCATGCCCTGCCCTCAGGTCCACCTTACTGAGAGTGCCTGTGTCATGCCTTGCCCTCAGGTCCACCTTACTGAGAGTGCCTGTGTCATGCCGTGCCCTCAGGCCACCTTACTCAGATGCCTGTGTCATGCCGAGCCCTCAGGTCCACCTTACTGAGAGTGCCTGTGTCATGCCGTGCCCTCAGGTCCACCTTACTGAGAGTGCCTGAGTCATGCCGAGCCCTTAGGTCCACCTTACTGAGATGCCTGTGTCATGCCGAGGCCTCAGGTCCACCTTACTGAGAGTGCCTGTGTCATGCCGAGCCCTCAGGTCCACCTTACTGAGATGCCTGTGTCATGCCGCTCCCTCAGGTCCACCTTACTGAGAGTGCCTGTGTCATGCCGAGACCTCAGGTCCACCTTACTGAGAGTGCCTGTTTCATGCCCTGCCCTCAGGTCCACCTTACTGAGAGTGCCTGTGTCATGCCCTGCCCTCAGGTCCACCTTACTGAGAGTGCCTGTGTCATGCCCTGCCCTCAGGTCCACCTTACTGAGAGTGTCTGTGTCATGCCCTGCCCTCAGGTCCACCTTACTGAGATGCCTGTGTCATGCCCTGCCCTCAGGTCCTCCTTACTGAGAGTGCCTGTGTCATGCCCTGCCCTCAGGTCCTCCTTACTGAGAGTGCCTGTGTCATGCCCTGCCCTCAGGTCCTCCTTACTGAGAGTGCCTGTGTCATGCCGTGCCCTCAGGTCCACCTTACTGAGAGTGCCTGTGTCATGCCGAGCCCTCAGGTCCACCTTACTGAGAGTGCCTGTGTCATGCCCTGCCCTCAGGTCCACCTTACCGAGAGTGCCTGTGTCATGCCCTGCCCTCAGGTCCTCCATACAGAGAGTGCCTGTGTCATGCCCTGCCCTCAGGTCCTCCTTACAGAGAGTGCCTGTGTCATGCCCTGCCCTCAGGTCCACCTTACTGAGAGTGCCTGTGTCATGCCGCGCCCTCAGGTCCACCTTACTGAGAGTGCCTGTGTCATGCCGAGCCCTCAGGTCCTCCATATAGAGAGTGCCTGTGTCATGCCCTGCCCTAAGGTCCACCTTACTGAGAGCGTCTGTGTCATGCCCTGCCCTCAGGTCCTCCTTACTGAGAGTGCCTGTGTCATGCCCTGCCCTCAGGTCCACCTTACTGAGATGCCTGTGTCATGCCTTGCCCTCAGGTCCACCTTACTGAGAGTGCCTGTGTCATGCCGTGCCCTCAGGTCCTCCTTACTGAGATGCCTGTGTCATGCCGTGCCCTCAGGTCCACCTTCCTGAGAGTGCCTGTGTCATGCCCTGCCCTCAGGTCCTCCTTACTGAGATGCCTGTCTCATGCCCTGCCCTCAGGTCCACCTTACTGAGAGTGCCTGTGTCATGCCTTGCCCTCAGGTCCACCTTACTGAGAGTGCCTGTGTCATGCCGCGCCCTCAGGCCACCTTACTCAGATGCCTGTGTCATGCCGAGCCCTCAGGTCCACCTTACTGAGAGTGCCTGTGTCATGCCCTGCCCTCAGGTCCACCTTACTCAGAGTGCCTGTGTCATGCCTTGCCCTCAGGTCCACCTTACTGAGAGTGTCTGTGTCATGCCGTGCCCTCAGGTCCACCTTACTGAGAGTGCCTGTGTCATGCCTTGCCCTCAGGTCCACCTTACTGAGAGTGCCTGTGTCATGCTGGCCCTCAGGTCCACCTTACTGAGAGTGCCTGTGTCATGCCGAGCCCTTAGGTCCACCTTACTGAGATGCGTGTGTCATGCCGAGCCCTCAGGTCCACCTTACTGAGGGTGCCTGTGTCATGCCGAGCCCTCAGGTCCACCTTACTGAGATGCCTGTGTCATGCCGAGCCCTCAGGTCCACCTTACTGAGAGTGCCTGTGTCATGCCGTGCCCTCAGGTCCACCTTACTGAGAGTGCCTGTGTCATGCCGTGCCCTCAGGTCCACCTTACTGAGATGCCTGTGTCATACCGAGCCCTCAGGTCCACCTTACTGAGAGTGCCTGTGTCATGCCCTGCCCTCAGGTCCACCTTACTGAGAGTGTCTGTGTCATGCCCTGCCCTCAGGTCCACCTTACTGAGAGTGCCTGTGTCATGCCCTGCCCTCAGGTCCTCCTTACTGAGAGTGCCTGTGTCATGCCCTGCCCTCAGGTCCACCTTACTGAGAGTGCCTGTGTCATGCCCTGCCCTCAGGTCCACCTTACTGAGAGTGCCTGTGTCATGCCCTGCCCTCAGGTCCACCTTACTGAGAGTGCCTGTGTCATGCCCTGCCCTCAGGTCCACCTTACTGAGAGTGTCTGTGTCATGCCCTGCCCTCAGGTCCACCTTACTGAGAGTGTCTGTGTCATGCCCTGCCCTCAGGTCCACCTTACTGAGATGCCTGTCTCATGCCCTGCCCTCAGGTCCACCTTACTGAGAGTGCCTGTGTCATGCCCTGCCCTCAGGTCCACCTTACTGAGAGTGCCTGTGTCATGCCGTGCCCTCAGGTCCACCTTACTGAGAGTGTCTGTGTCATGCCCTGCCCTCGGGTGATGAAGGGGCAAGAAGTAGCCCTGAAACATTGAGTATGTGTAACAAAGTAGTAATTATCAATAAATATAAGATAGCTATGCCATACCTTGAACTCCTTGTCATGTTTAGATCCAGCTTCTAAATGCCTATAAATACTCTCACATTCATATTTTGGTGTGAAATTTATATAAGGTTGGTTATGAGTAGAGTGATTGTACAAGAGAAACATTGATATCCCAGGACATAATAGTGAGTGTGGTAACATTATCTACTTATTCTCTGTATCATTGACTAATCACACCAGATTATCTAGGCTGATTAGATAGCTAATTAAATTCAGGGATAGTTTGTAAAAGTGTGTCAGTTATAATGTGCTGGCTGCCAGTGTTACTAGTGTGTATTATTATGGTTTCAGATAGCAGATGTCCTTGAGTGCTGCAGTAGTCCCAATCTGATGCTGGAGACCGTTAGTGATGGTCCAGATGATATTGCTGTCTTCAATCAGGGAAATGTGCAAGCCTCTCGCAAAAAGGTCATGCCAATACTCAAAGCTTTTCTTAATGGAGAAAAAACCCCAGATGAAAGTGTCGCTCTTGGTACGGTGCCGTTTGTGTCAGGTGGCAGCTCGTTAGGCCAGGGAGAGTCCCAGCAGGGAGAGAGACATGCCAGTAGCCAGGGCCTGGATGTGCTGTCACCTGACACAGTGGACCTGTTCCACCCAGCTGCCTCAACACACAGTGCAGAGACCAGTGCTTCGTCTGAGGGCCAGCTGACCAGTCCTGCACATTTGTCGGAGCAATTTGATGCACTGTTCCTGGGCAACGAGGAGGCAGAAAGAGGGACAGATTTAGCTGCTAATGAGAATGGAAATGAATCCTATGTGAATAGTTCTGCAGTGTTGTCGCCAGTAGGATACAACAAGAGGGAGGATGTGGACAACACTGACCTGTTAAACAACTTTGATCCATATGCTCTGATACCATCTGCTGATAATGAAGACAATACGGGAGATACTCAGAGACCCTCAGAATTGATTGATAACGTGATCAATACCAAGGCTGACGATTTTGAGTTGACAGAAGCAGATGTTTTACACCCATCTTCAGGACAGGATTTGTTTTCTTCAGGTTTGGAAAGCCCAATGGACTTTTCCCCTGGGCAGAACTCCGGCCAGGGGTCTAAGGTGTCCAGTTACCCAGTGACCCCCCCAAACAGTTTCATGGATAATGAATACAGTGGGGTTGCCATGGAACATAATTTACCTAGTTTTAACAGTTCTGAGATGGTGGAGAGAATTAAGGCCAAGAAGGCCTCTCTTGGAGCTGACACCGAGGGCGATGCCTCAACACAGGACTTCCACATGGACAGTGCACAGGGGGAACAGGACTTCACATTTACTCCACAAAACAGCTACACTGACAGCAATATGGAGAAACACCTCAAGGAAACAGAACTACCTAGCTTTTATAACTCAGAAATGGTGCAACGTATAAGAGAAAAACGAGCATCCCTTGAGAATGCTGTAAATGACACAGAAAATAATCAGGATGATTTACAAAACAAAATTCCATGGACTCCACATAATAGTTATGTGGAGGGATCTTTGGATGCCTTCACACAGGACAACCTACCTAGTTTTAATAACGATGAAATGGTTAGAAAAGTTCAAGAAAAACGAGCAAGTTTGCCCTCCTTGGATGAGAATGAGAACGAAGCTGGTGCTAGTGGCTCTGATGACAACCTTAGTTCAGTGGCATATACTCCGCAGAATGGTGGTGTGGAGGGGGAGGAAGGCCCTAAGGGGAGGTACATGGACACCACTCAGGCCACAGACTCAACAGCAGGCGCCAGTCCAGAAATGGACCATGCATGCACACACAATTCTGTGCCACATGGGAATCTGCTGGATTTTGAAATTTCTAATACTGCTTCTAATAATTCTGTTGCCAACTTAATAGCAAATGAAATGGTAAGTGACATCAGTGGTGAACCTGCTATAGCTCTGCAGCTGGGGAGACACCAGGTGTCTGGTCATAATAATACCAGCAATGTTGTAGCCAGCGCTATATCTGACCAGATGGAGAAAGAGAGGGGAATGAGGGACAGCCTCTCACGTCCCCCCTATAGTAATGGGGATACTGATGGTGCCACCATACCTGCCAGTGATGTCATCAAGGGTTGGCATAGCCCAGCTACCAAGGAGGACCAGATGAGTGAAACAGCCATGAATGAGGTTGCCTTTACTCTTGCCAGTGAACTCATTCAAAATGCTCTTGAAACATTCATTCCACATGAGGAGCTGAGCCAGGTAGCAGGGCCCTCTGAAACCTGTACGTCGTCTGAGGCCGTGGGACCGCAGGCATCCGCCACACCCGCCACACCCCACCCAGATGAGGTTGAAGCAGGACGAACTCCCAGGTACCTGAAGACACTTAGTAAGTCGGATTCCAACACTGTTTCTGTAGAGACAGAATATCTACCTGAGATGGACCCACTCCATGGAAATATGGATATAGTTGACAGTGGTGCATTAGAGACTGATGCTGAGAGAGAAGTTGCAGAGAGTTGTTCTTTCAGGAGAATAAGTTGTGAAAGGAGTGCTCTAACAGATGGGGCAGAGCAGCTCGAGGGGGACACCTTGGCTGTCAGGAAAGTTATACACATAGACTCGGATCTGAACATGTCTCTTGATGACAACTCTAATGCTCAAGATGAGGAAGTCATTGGTTTGAATGTTGATGATTCACAATCCAAGAAAAGGATACACGTAAACACTGGAGACAAGGATAAAACTGTTGACAGCATTGAGCATGATGAGAGTGTTAATACTACCGGAGAAGACAGTGTGGAGAGCTGTTTGAAGGCTGGTGTGCCCCACTTCAGTGATTCAGCTGGGGAGAGGAAGGAAGTGTACATGACCTCAGCTGGGAGGATCAGTATTGGTGTGGACCAGGATGTACCAGTGACTTGCCCTGCACACAACACCACTCAGGTAGGCTATGTTGATGCAGTTGCTGCAGCCCCAGACGAAGAGGTTTTTCTGCTACCCCAGCATGCATGTGATCCCACTACACTGTGGTCTTCTGTACCCACCCAGCCATGTGATGTGAACCCTGTTGACGACCTGGCATGTGCCCCCCGTCCTGTTTCCACCTCAACCTGCACATCCCAAGTTTCCACATCCTCACTATCAAGTCAGGTATGCTCCATCTTTACCCAAATGTCACAGTACTTTTTCCCCTTGCTTAAAGTAAACCTTTCCCTACACATACAGTAATCTTTCCCTCACTCACACTGGAATCTTTCCCTCACTCATACTGGAATCTTTCCCTCACTCACACTGTGGTCTTTCCCTCACTCACACTGTGGTCTTTCCCTCACTCACTCAGTAATCTTTCCCTCACTCAAACCATAGTCTTTCCCTCACTCACACTGCAGTCTTTCCCTCACTCACACTGTAGTCTTTCTTTCACTCACCCTGTAGTCTTTCCCTCACTCACACTGGTCTTTCCCTCACTCACTCAGTAATCTTTCCCTCACTCAAACCATAGTCTTTACCTCACTCATACTGTAGTCTTTCCCTCACTCACCCTGTAATCTTTCCCTCACGGACACTGTTGTATTTCCCTCACTCACTCAGTAATCTCTCCCTCACTCAAACCGTAGTCTTTCCCTCACTCACACTATAGTCTTTTCCTCACTCACCCTGTAGTCTTTCCCTCACTCACCCTGTAGTCTTTCCCTCACTCACCCTGTAGTTTTTCCCTCACTGACACTGTTGTATTTCCCTCACTCACACTGTAGTCTTTCCCTCACTCACACTGGTCTTTCCCTCACTCACTCAGTAATCTTTCCCTCACTCAAACCGTAGTCTTTCCCTCACTCACACTATAGTCTTTTCCTCACTCACCCTGTAGTCTTTCCCTCACTCACCCTGTAGTCTTTCCCTCGCTCACCCTGTAGTCTTTCCCTCACTCACTCAGTAATCTTCCCCTCATCTGTATGTATCAGTTCATCATCGTTGTATATACATTGTAGTGTCGTCTGTATGTATCAGTTCATCATCGTTGTATATACATTGTAGTGTCGTCTGTATGTATCAGTTCATCATCGTTGTATATACATTGTAGTGTCGTCTGTATGTATCAGTTCATCATCGTTGTATATACATTGTAGTGTCGTCTGTATGTATCAGTTCATCATCCTTGTATATACATTGTAGTGTCGTCTGTATGTATCAGTTCATCATCGTTGTATATACATTGTAGTGTCGTCTGTATGTATCAGTTCATCATCCTTGTATATACATTGTAGTGTCGTTGGTATGTGTCAGTTTATTTATAATGTCCATGAGTAACATCTCACTGAGTGTATCATGTGTATCAGCTTTTTAAACAGTGTAGTTTGCTTGGGTCGATTGTCTTATAGCTAAAATGGATAGAAGGATAGAATTATCCTAAGGTTATCAGGCAAAAAAAAGTCCACTGTAAATTCCCTCATGCCTACATGATGGGCCTTTGTCAATCACATTGCCATATGACGTCAGTCATCTTGGGTTTAGATTCTGGACAGTGAAGGGTTTTGATAGAGCTTGTCAAAATTTAACTGTATTGTTCTAGTGATCAGTGTTGTTATTTCTGTTGTCACACCAGATGACATCAAAAGTAAAGATAAAAATAACATACTTTTTTTATTGAGTGTCATATATATATACTACAATGATTATGGTCTAGAAGCCCTTTGGTGCATGAAATAAGTTCAATTTAGTTCAAATTATGAATCAAAAGGGCTTAAAACTTGCCTCAATCACGCTTCACATGCTCGGGGGAAAACACATTGTTAACTGTCCAGAACATGGAAGTTGCTACCTACCAACTTCGGGTTTGGCATGGACAGAGCTTACCCCTTTTGCCAGCTGTATTTTCTTTAACAAATGTGTATTATACACTGGAGAATATGGACTGTCGTGGAAACCTGCAGGGTCAGTACAGGACACTTAAAAAGATTACATGCAGACTGGTATAAGATTGGATGCAGTTGCTTAATACGGCAAATACGGTATGTGTCTTATGCCATTTTCTTCCAATACATACACATATGTGAGAATGTAATGTGGGACCTGCATCTACTGTTGAGGACACTGTAATTATGTAGAGATGTCATGACTTGACTACGGTGGATTTACTACACCAACAACATGCAGTGTTTTGAGTGAGGATCATGTGTGAAGTGTGGAAGTGGTTTACTCCAGCGTTGGCTGCCCACTCCCACATGCTCACGGATGCCAGATGCTGGAGTATTGATCACTGCTAATTTCAGCTCTCTTCCATGAATGTTAAACAGTGCCTGCCAAGTTGTGCTGGAATTCATTCAAGTCTAACTCCCAATCAATATGGTCACTGAGAATGAATCAGCACCAGGAGATACCATAGCCTGACTTCCAAGATATCTACTCTTAGTCAGCCAATCAGAGCCACCGATACAAACCTGCGTATATATGATGTTATAATACTGATGACACCGAGGTGTTTCATGCTTTGGAAGCCACCTACAAGTGTGTAAATCTTGTGCACCAGGTGCTTGTAGTTGCTGGCAGTGACATGAAGATTGAAAAGGCCCAGGTGAGAGGGGTTCCTGCATTGCATCCAGTCTTTAGCACACTGATAGGGCTTGCCTTTATCAGTTGACCATGTCGGAGGATGGGTTGTAGTGGAGTGAGGGTAGATGTGTTCCTGTCATCTATGAGGCCACTGCCACCCTGGCTGTGGGACCAAATGAGTCTTGGTAGTCTGTTGCCATTCTCTCCACAGATAACACCATGCAGTATTCATGTCTAAGACCCAATAGCTTTGTGTTTTCTTCAACAAACAATGGTTTGATGTATGTGCATGTCAACAAACTGTTAGAGATACTGTCTGCTGCTTGAATTTGAAACTGTTGAAAGGCAGACAACTGCACCAAAAGACTGGGGCAAGTTTAGTCTGACATGTATTCCTCCATTGCCCTGAATACGAACTGCACCACATGGGCCATTCCCTTCATGACTGAGCTGAATGCAGATAGTGTGCCAACCATTCAACCCTGTATCAGTTCAAAAGTGACACTTGGTTACTTGTAACTTAAGACAACGATAAATCATAAGAGTACAAGGAACATGCTAAACTAATCATGCTTTCTGTGTATCCCCTGAGGCAAGACAATTGTTACCTGTGTGTGTGAGTGGAGGTAGCTCCTTGACGGTCTTTCTGTGTATCCCCTGAGACGAGACAATTGTTACCTGTGTGTGTGAGTGGAGGTAGCTCCTTGACGGTCTTTCTGTGTATCCCCTGAAACGAGACAATTGTTACCTGTTTGTGTGGATGGAGGTAGCTCCTTGACGGTCTTTCTGTGTATCCCCTGAGGCAAGACAATTTTTACCTGTTTGTGTGAGTGGAGGTAGCTCCTTGACTGTCTTTCTGTGTATCCCCTGAGGCGAGACAATTGTTACCTGTGTGTGTGAGTGGAGGTAGCTCCTTGATGGTCTTTCTGTGTATCCCACTGAGGCAAGACAATTGTTACCTGAGTGTGTGGATGGAGGTAGCTCCTTGACAGTCTTTCTGTGTATCCCACTGAGGCAAGACAATTGTTACCTGTGTGTGTGAGTGGAGGTAGCTCCTTGACAGTCTTTCTGTGTATCCCCTGAGGCAAGACAATTTTTACCTGTTTGTGTGAGTGGAGGTAGCTCCTTGACTGTCTTTCTGTGTATCCCCTGAGGCGAGACAATTGTTACCTGTGTGTGTGAGTGGAGGTAGCTCCTTGATGGTCTTTCTGTGTATCCCACTGAGGCAAGACAATTGTTACCTGAGTGTGTGGATGGAGGTAGCTCCTTGACGGTCTTTCTGTGTATCCCACTGAGGCAAGACAATTGTTACCTGTGTGTGTGAGTGGAGGTAGCTCCTTGACAGTCTTTCTGTGTATCCCCTGAGGCAAGACAATTGTTACCTGTTTGTGTGAGTGGAGGTAGCTCCTTGACGGTCTTTCTGTGTATCCCCTGAGGCGAGACAATTGTTACCTGTGTGTGTGAGTGGAGGTAGCTCCTTGACAGTCTTTCTGTGTATCCCACTGAGGCAAGACAATTGTTACCTGTGTGTGTGAGTGGAGGTAGCTCTTGATGGTCTTTCTGTGTATCCCACTGAGGCAAGACAATTGTTACCTGTGTGTGTGGATGGAGGTAGCTCCTTGACAGTCTTTCTGTGTATCCCACTGAGGCAAGACAATTGTAACCTGTGTGTTGAGTGGAGGTAGCTCCTTGACTCTCTTTCTGTTTATCCCACTGAGGCAAGACAATTGTTACCTGTGTGTGTTGAGTGGAGGTAGCTCCTTGACGATCTTTCTGTTTATCCCACTGAGGCAAGACAATTGTTACCTGTGTGTGTTGAGTGGAGGTAGCTCCTTGACGGTCTTTCTGTTTATCCCACTGAGGCAAGACAATTGTTACCTGTGTGTGTGAGTGGAGGTAGCTCTTGATGGTCTTTCTGTGTATCCCACTGAGGCAAGACAATTGTTACCTGTGTGTGTGGATGGAGGTAGCTCCTTGACAGTCTTTCTGTGTATCCCACTGAGGCAAGACAATTGTTACCTGTGTGTTGAGTGGAGGTAGCTCCTTGACTCTCTTTCTGTTTATCCCACTGAGGCAAGACAATTGTTACCTGTGTGTGTTGAGTGGAGGTAGCTCCTTGACGATCTTTCTGTTTATCCCACTGAGGCAAGACAATTGTTACCTGTGTGTGTTGAGTGGAGGTAGCTCCTTGACGGTCTTTCTGTGTATCCCACTGAGGCAAGACAATTGTTACCTGTGTGTGAGTGGAGGTAGCTTCTTGACGGTCTTTCTGTGTATCCCACTGAGGCAAGACAATTGTTACCTGTGTGTTTGAGTGGAGGTAGCTCCTTGATGGTCTTTCTGTGTATCCCACTGAGGCAAGACAATTGTTACCTGTGTGTGTGGATGGAGGTAGCTCCTTGACGGTCTTTCTGTGTATCCCACTGAGGCAAGACAATTGTTACCTGTGTGTGTGGGTGGAGGTAGCTCCTTGACGGTCTTTCTGTGTATCCCACTGAGGCAAGACAATTGTTACCTGTGTGTGTGGGTGGAGGTAGCTCCTTGACGGTCTTTCTGTGTATCCCACTGAGGCAAGACAATTGTTACCTGTGTGTTGAGTG